TAATTCTAGATATTTTTAATGAGTATGTGATTTTAGATCAAGATGAAAGATGGAAGACTCTAAAGAATATCGATTCAGATCAAGAGAAATTTTAAATTTTTGGTAAAAAAAAACTTGATATTTTTGTCGAAAATTATCCCAGAGGGAGTGTAATACTTTTAAAACACCGTGTACACCGACACGTATGTATTGTTACGGGATAAGAGACATCGTATAAGTCTGTGGCGTCATGTGCTCGTAACTGCCCCCTATCAGAATAATATTATTATCCCGGTCACCCCACGATTATCCTGCAATCCGCGTAGTGCTTACTTTTCGTGACTTTGTTTCGTACACGTCACCGAAAGCTGTTGAGTCGCGTAAACGGAGTGATAAATGGAAATCCAGATTATTGTCTCCGCGCGCAACGAATCTTGCTTTTCGGATCGAGGCGGAAATCACTTTCGCGAAATAATCCAGAAATCCTTCACGACAGGGATGAGCATCTGGATGCTTCAACAATTGTGTTTTGATCATATAATTTTTTAATATTTTACAGAAAAATATTTCTACACAATCATAAATTACAATCAAGGAATAATAATTGTAAAAACACATTTTTATATTTTCTACATTTTTTTTTTTAATTATCCCAAACGTAAAGAATTTTTGAACAGCCGTATTTATCATCAGTTTGTTTTAAAATTAATGTATTTTTTATTTTTGAAACAAAATTTTATTTTTAAAAAGAATTTTTTATGCATTCTTCTTTATAAAATTGAACCAAAGATGCAGTTTGCAACACGCACAGTATATTTCAATATAATATATCTCATAATTTTTATAGTACCAGAGAGAATAGTCACAGCGTTAGCTAATTGCTCTCGCGGAAAGATCAGTTCCAATTAATGTTCCCATTGGTCGTACAACTTACCGCTTAAATATCAATTTCAAACAGACGGTATCCTTATTAGCATTAGCTCGGCAAGTACGACAAAGAAGTTTAGGTACGACGCTAGAAAGTTCAAAGATGCAAATAAGGGTAATATCGTGGCGGAGGGGCGAGCGAGGGAGGACGGGAATCTCGTAGTTTCCTGTCTCGTTTACACTTATTGTCGGAATTATTTCATTCGCGTGGAGCAAGAAATTATGGAAATGTGAAATTATTATTATGAAATATATGAACAGTTGCGGTAAATTGCATAACATAATTGGTGTATAAATTATTAACTATACATTTGATCTAACAATAATATTGTGCAAAGTAGTTTTTTTGTTGTAATTGCTGAAATTATCAAAAATTATCGAAGATGAGGATAATGTAGGTTATTCGATCAGAAGTGAGTTCATAATTACTCCACCCTAGCATTATACTCTCGGCATGGCGAAATAAATCATTTCTCGTTTCCCCTCCCTTGGCGAAGTAACAGTAGTACCGCTGTTCAAACCCCAATTTATATTAGGTAATTGAGGCGCGTTACGTTGATCTTTCTTCATATCGTTTCAATATAGTGCGAGAGCAGAAATCATTTCTCTACGGACTCGTAGCAAAGAGCGCGACAAATCAATTTCGTGTTGACAAATATTATCAAGCTGTCGTTTTTGTTAGACATTGGTTCAATATTAGTTCCATAATTTCAGAAAAATTATATAAATCTTTCGTTACTTATTTCTTCTTTTTTTTTTTCATGAGACGTGTGTATTTCTCGTCGATAGAACGAAAAGATCGATAGTGAAAAATATAAGACTTCCATAAAACGAAGTGTCGAACCGTCGTGATTATTCATCGTTGGGACTTTTAGAAACGAAATCGCCATCGCTGCGGTCGCTCATAGGTCCAGCACGTCGGATGAATGAATAATTATTCCGCACCCCGCGTACGAGACGAATCGTTTCTCGGCGTTACTCCCTTCGCCGGAAGTACCTATACCGAACCCGCCTCCAATTTATATAAGCTAACCGAGTCGGCGCCCCCCCTCGGCCACCCTCGCGTCGCCCGGTGCCCGTATAATAATTCCGCGATTCCCTCCCGATGTTCATTTCATTATTTTTTTCTTTCTTCGTCGTGGCCGCCTTCGCCCTCTCCTTCCTCTCTCCTTCAGGCCGCCACTTCCATAACCGCTTCTCCGCAATCCACCACCACCGCCGCCGCCGTCGCTGAGAGGGTGATAAGTCGTGACGTCGACGAGGCAGAGGTGATTCCGAAGCGTAGGCGTGGTCGCGGCATCCCACCCCCGCCGTCGTTGTTGCGGGGACCGGCGCCGGCGGGGGGATGGGTGGACTCGGATTCCGTAGGGGGTAGGATGGCGCGCGGTGCACGCTTCGCGTTGGCTGCATCCGACCCTCCACCCTCCACCACGTGGCCGAAACCGGCGGGTGCGGCGCGGCGCGGCGCGGCGCGGCGGTGGACGTACGCCGTTATAGAAGGTGGAAAATCGTGTAAGAAAAAACCCGCGGCACTCTGCGCCAACCTCATCGGCCTCTTCCTCTCCTTCTCGCGCCCACCGCCGCCTCTCCTCTCATCTCTTTCCCGTTTTCAAATACCCTGCCGGTAATAGACGGCGCGGCTCTACTTAAGTGCGGTGCACGTCGCTGCGCCCCCGTCCTCCCCCCGTCCGACCGCCCCGCCTCACCACCCCGTTCCCGCTCCCTCTCGCCCTCTTCTTCCGTCTTCTTTCCACCCGGTCTTTATTCCCGCGCGTTTAAAAGGGACGTATATATGTATGGCCGCGTGTACGCCGCTTTTATGTGGAATTCTTGGGGCGAGCATCGAGAGAGAGAAGACTTATCACGCCGCTGTCAGGAACGCGCCGCCGTCTATGTACGCGTCTCTCTCTCTCTCTCTCTCTCTCTCTCTCTGTGTACGCGGCGAGTGTGCGCGCTCGTCCGCACGGTCCTCTCACATCGGCGTCGTGCTCGTTAATTTAATTAACCCTACGGACATTTCCGGCACGGACGCGGACGGCCAGCGTGCTCGGCCGCACCTTCCACGATAATGCGCACGCGGATGCACCCACGCGGCATCGTCGTCACTTTCGTTGACCGTTGGCGGGGGGGAGGGGGGGGTGTGGTAAAATTATGCGCGCAGAGTGACGGCAAACGTTTGGGACAGGAGATTTTGCGGATGCCTTTACGCGCTGCAGGTTGGGCCTGAGACAATTGTAGCGTAATCTTGGTGCAAAATCTGGTCGAACTTTTTTCAAGTTTGAGCTAAATTACGAGAGCAATTGGAATTGAAAGGCTCATATATTAAGTTCCACGTTTCACTGAATATTTCATAGCTTAAGACAGACTTGTTTCACCAGCTAGATTTTATTTTGCTCCTAAATATTGAGAAATTATACAAAGACGCTATTATTGTAACGTCAAGCCTAAAAAAAAAAAAAAACCAGACTCGACACCTGTAAAT